AGCAGAATCTATCAAAAAATTTAAAATATATAAACAAGGGAAAGAATAGAATGTGGAGAGGAGAGGTGAGCACCTAGCTCCCCTTTTTACTTAAGCAAAATCTGTTTTTTGAGATATGATGGCAGCATTCTACTATAGCCCCTCCTTGAGGATTATAAGAAATACCAGTCTTATTAACAACAGAAAAATCTTGGCAGAATTTTGAAAATCCTGTACTGCTGTAGGCGGGAAGTTTATCAGTCTTTATGCATTTTAGCACTTGCATATAAGCAAAAGCATGAAGACAATGATTCTTTACATCCCTAACCTTTTCCCCTGAATGGGCAGAAGCAAAAATTAGGGAAGAATATGTATTAAGAGACACATGGACATATTGTATATTTCCAAAAGAAGGCACATGTGTGACATTTATTAGCCACACATGATTAGATAATAGTCCTCGGGATTTACTACCAAATGAGGAACAGGTAAAAATTCAGCACAAATAGGACATGATTTAACTATCTGGATGGCTTGTTCCCAGGTTATGCCTGTATGAGGACAGAGAGATACAGTGTTAAGATGATAACATTGATACAACTGAGTAGCCTTTTCAAAGGCAGAACAAATTAATGTGACAGCCATACAAGTAATGGCATCAGCCCTCTGATTACCTTTTCTTAGAGGTCTAGGCAACTGGGTATGAGCTCTAATATGGCTCACATAAAGGTTATGTGAGTGGGAACATATGAGTTCTTGCACTTGCAATAAATATTTATGAATGGGAAGAATGGATAGAATGCAGGCTGTTGTCTCCAAAGGCATAATGGCATGTGCCCCATACTGGCTATCAGTATAAATATTTACACTCTCATCAGAAAACATCTGTAAGGGAAGCAAAAGTGCCTGTACCTCTGACATCTGAGCAGAAGTGCCCTGGACTTTCATTGTCCTCACTATGTTACCAGAAACCACCACAGCAAAACTACATGAAGTGCCATCAGTAAATACCACATGGGCCTGAATTTTAAAAAAAATTAAAAATTAAAAATAATCTAAAAATTGACACACATCATTGGAGTGGTAAAAAGTATCAAACTCTGCATGGAGCATGTCAATATGGTCCAATATTATCTTTAGCTTGCAACCATGCTATTTGGATGTATGGGGTCACCACTATATCTAGCTCCTTACCAAAACTTTGAAAGCTGACCTGATTCCTTTAAATATAATCTGAGCAACAGCCTGAGGATAAGGAGTAATGGTTTTGCTGTAGAAGCTGGGAAATGTACCCATAAAATAGGACTTGTTTGCCAAACCACCCCAGAAGGTGAATTAGGAAAACAAAATATTCATCACCTAAATAATGATAGGGAAAAGATACCTGCAACTTTCTGGGCTATTTGTAAATTAGTCAGGCTAAGAACATCTTGTGATTTAGAAAAGGCATCAAAAGCAAAGTTTTTTATCTTTAGCAGCCAATAATATATCATCCATCATTCAATCACAATTAAATGTCAATGTTTAGGAATTGCCACAGGGGCATGCAAGCCAGGCTGTGTTGCTCCCATGAGAAGCATGGTTTTATTGAGAGCTCTAAGATCTTGTAATACTCTCCATTTTCCTGACTTCTAGTAGAGGCCAGATGGGATCTCAGGATTCTTAAGAAATTATAGATATATCTAGCATCAAAAGTGAATAATCTTTTAATCTCAATTTCATTTAATTTTACTTTTAATTTGGGCCATTCATCATTGATAACTGTTTGTCAAAACACATTTTTCCTGTATTTTCAAAGCCTCCAGTTCTATATATCAGCGCCAATTTGCATTTAAAATATGAAAGAAATAATAATAACCTGTTTATCAGTAAGAGACTATTTATTTTTTATAGGTTTATCTTAGCAACAACATTATTTAATAAGCTAACAACCCAATGCACTTCAGGTGTTATATTTCTATAGAATTTCCAAGAATTTCTAAAAAACAAGTTAAAGAGCAGAACCAAATTTCCAGTAATGATCAACAGACAAGAGTAAACCTAATATGTAGTTCAAAATTATGAATCCTGTTCCTTTAGTTTATCTACCATGAAAATCCAAACATTTATTAAGACAATCAAAAGAATGGAACATCCTTTATTTAAACAGCATTGACTTAGCATTCCATGTCCTGACCAAAACCATTTTCACCAGAATTTGGGCCCTTTAAACTTTTAGCTCCTGTCCCTCTCCTTGCCAGCCCCCAACTCTGTTCCCCTTGTCTGGCCTCACAGCTCTGCCTCCGGCCAGCAGGTACCTGTCTGCCTGCTGCTCCAGGCCTTCTTGCACTCTGCTGCAGGGCGCCTTTGTCCACAGCCATGCTGGGCACGTGCCCCCACACATGCACTTATATAAGATCTGAGTGTGGACTCTACTTAAGTAATGACTTTAGGGTCTCTTTGACAATGTAAGTCACCATAGATACAAAATTTAATGAAAATGTTCATCTCTCCCAATAACAAATTTACACTGAAGATAAACCTTAAATGTAAAAGGTTACAAAAAAACATGGTATGGTATGATTCTTATGATTATAAAGAGATAAGAATAAAAATAAATATGAAAGGATGCCCCAAAACACATTAAGCTGCAAATAAGTACTTGTTAGTTCATAGTTTTGAGAAAAATATTCAGAACTACAAAATTAGTAGCATAGAGAAATATAGAGCAAACAAAGTAGAAGGAAAGCAGCAGGTTTGCATTTATTTTATTGTCTTAATGTTCATATTAACATACATTACATTACATTTGTAGAAATATTTTACATAGCATTTTCGTATTTGAGTCACATTATACAATATAACATATACATAATTAGCAACATTTCATCAGAATCCAAATTCAGGAACAATATTCAAAAATAGTACATAAATTTTACTGAATAATACTATTTTAGTCAAGCCATTAAAGAAGATTTATGTTAAATTTAATTAAATATATAATATGGAGAATGTGTCATCTTTGCTGTTCAGAATATTCTTGAATATTTGGGCTTAAGTGAAACTCTTTTCTCAATGTACCAACATGCTCTAAATTCAGTCATGTGCTTCTTTAAAGAAATCATGAGATTTCTTTAAAGTTGAGCCATATATTATATATATATATATATATATATATATGAATATATATATATATACATTTGTGTGTGTACATATTATATTTGTTTTACTATAATAATTCTTTATAGTGTGTTTATAGAAAAAATACCCATAAACACCTGTTTTTGTTAATAGTCTACATTGAGAAGCAAATTCATTATATAACTTGAAACATAGCATTTATCAATAAGAAACAATCAAATTTAATTAACATTGCCTCATTTCAAATTTATTTATAAGAATTGGGAGTTCTGAACATGGTGTGTTTCACTAAATACGTCTATGTATAACAACCCTGTCTTGACTAATTATCATCTCAGTCACCCACGCTATGCTTTTTATGTGCAATTTCTCACCTATGCCTGAGTGAGGACTTATGAACTGTTACTTGACAGTTTCTGGGGAGAGTCAGTTTTCCCCTAGTTTGTGCCCCCTGAGAAGTTGACCAGAACCATTCCATGATAATGTTTTTCTTTATGTCAAGTATGTAGTTCTGGTTTATTTATCAAAAACAATATTTTAGAAATTCTTCTTTCATACATTACATATTGAGTGCAGTTTTCTTTTTTCTACCCTTCCATGTTTTCATCCCCCACCATTTGTATGCTCCTTCTGCTCTTAGTTTTCATGGGCTCTCCAGATCAGTATGTACTGTATGTTCTGAGCATTAGTGTGATCTGAAAATTTACTATCATCAAGGTATTAGCTGTTTTCTTCTTTCACTGCTGCTGACTGTACACTTAATAATCTCACTTCGCAAAACTGAAAGCATGGCAATTGTGAATCATTTCCCACACAAGACATGGACATCCATGAAGTCAAATACAAATTTGCATTAAAAAAAGGGTTGTGGATAGATGAGTAAAATTTACCCAGTAAATATTATGTACTACTCTAAATCATCCTCAGTGAGATGAGAGCTCAATTGAGGAAATAGACGACATGAATGAGGGTTAAAGTACAATCTCTGTAGAATGAGCTCTTAGCCTGGAGAACATGGAAGGACCAATGCTGCATCCTGGGCCATCATGGGAAGTGCAGGCAGAATTCCCTTCTCTTCAGAACAGATTAGTAATTTACATCAGTTAGCTTTGGATGTTAATGATCAATACTAACAACAACTTTAAAATAGAACAGGTGAAGTTACTCCCCCAGAGAGACTTTTTTTCATTTATCTTTATTAAGAAATTTTCTACTCATGTACATGCTACCCACAGATTCCACCTCCTCCCTCCTCCCACCCTCCAGCCCTCCCTACCAATCCACCCCACATCCCAAGATCTCCCAAATTAAGGTTTCCCATGGGGAGTCATCAGAGCCTAGGAAGATTCAAGACCCTCCAGACTGCACCAAGCCTGCACAAGGCATCACATCTCAGGCACCTGGCTTCCAAAAGCATGACCATGTACTAAGGATGGATCTCAATTCCCCTGCTTGAGTGCCCCCCAAGCAGTTCGAACTGAACAATAGTCTTCCATATCCAAATGGCCTAGCCCAGTCCTGTGGGGGCAGCACAGCCACTAGTCTACAGTTCATGGGCTTCCACTTGTGCTGCCAGTCATCTCTGCTCTTCTTTCCATCATGGTCCCACTGTCCTCTGCCTGCAGAATCCCTCCTCTCTCTGGATCAATTGGATTCCCAGAGCTAAGCATGGAGCCTGTCCGTGGTTCTCTACATCTGCCTCCATCAGTCACTGGACAATGGCTCTATGATGACAATTAGGGAATTCCCTAGACTGGACACCAGAGTAGACCAGTCCAGGTACCATCTAGAAAACTGCTAGCACTCCAAAGTGTGTCATCCTTGTGGATACCTACCCACACCTCCCCAGTACCCTGCCAGTTCCTATTCAGTGATGTCCTCACCTATCATGATATGTCCTTCCCTGCCCTCCCGCTCTGTCCCTGTTCCAATTTGACCCTCCCTTTTGCTTATGTTCCTCAGAGAGACATTATAGCACCATAGTTTGCTTAAATGTTCTCTTTAAATTATATAGATGTACCTCTGATCATACTCCAGAACTTTCCAGTGTTGCAACTTTGTCTTTTCTTGTAATTTTGGATTTTGTTACAGAGTTTCACAATGGCACCTATGCTCATCTCAAATACACAATCTTCCTACTTCTCCCTCCTCAAAACAGGGACAGCAAAGTCTGTGCTACCTGCTAATCCACTTGTAGTCTCCCATCTCTCATTTCTCTTAATTTAAACCATCAACCTAATGCTTAAATATGTAAATGTCTCCATTACTTATTATTGTGCATGCAATTACTACAATTCAACTCTAAACAATTTTATTTGAAAGTTTACCTAAATCTGACTTTTAAAAATGTATTTCTAAATACTTTCCAGCGCTGGGTGTTATACATTAGATTGAAGAAACAGGCTGTCTATTAAATATACATTCCCTTCAGTAGCCAATGCTGGCAGGTTTCATTACCATCCCTAAGCCATTCTGACTTTTTTCATCCTCTTCACTTGTTCTTACTTTCTGACAGCCACCAACACTTGATTTGATGGTCCAGGTGCAATCTGCAATGTTTAACTTTTGTACTGCAGGTGACAATGTTGATTTAAAAAGTCTCATCCTCAGAGAAGCTCACCTGAAGGACTACACTCCACATAAACCCCACAGGTTAATTCTCTCTGCTACTGTGATATTCTCCATTAAAACAGTGAGTGCTGATTGTTTCAGCACTTTTATCATACAGCTTGGTTTACCTGTGTCCCAGACTACAAGACAAACTGCATTGGGAAGAAACTTTGTAGACAATCAGTGTCTTCTGCAAAGTTTGGTATTGACAGTGTGTTCACAGAATAGAAACTGAGTAGAAAACATGGATAGGGGGATGCAGACAGCACAGTTTTTAGAGTTCTCTGAATACACAAGCACAGTGTGTTGTCTGTTAAGAACTAGTGCAGCAGAGCCTGAAAAAGGAAGCATAGTGTCTGATGAGCAGAAAGGGGCAGAGTGCTGGAAAGCATGCAGCCATGGCTGCATCAGTGTTAAACAGCCACCTCGATCCTTCATGGACAGTCATATAAGATGTAAAGACAACAGAGGTTGCATAAAAGATCACAAAGCAGCACACTAGGGTGAGGATGCTTTGGGTGGCTCTGGTCTCAGGAGATGACCTAGGAGACAGGGATCTGTGGATGTGTTGCACCCTCTGCTTATGTTTGAGCAGGATGAATACCATGTAGCCACTGGACAACATCATGAGTCCCAAAAAAATGACATCGTTGGTTGCTATTAGGATTACAATAAGAATGCTGATTAGTTTCTCGGAATTGATAACAGTACAAATTCCAAAATCTTGTATCCCAGTAACATTTCTCCCACCCCTTATGTCTGTTGTATACACAAAAATGAAAATATATAACAACAAAGCGAGGGCCCAGCATAGGCCCAGGAATGGACCAATGATCCTGGGGGCTCTGGGCTTGAACTGTGCCCACCTGGAATTACTGGGGCTGATGGTGATGGCCTGAAAGAAACTCAGCAGGGATGTGGAGCTAAGAGATACTCCTCTGGCAACTCTATGTAAATATAAGGCAAGTTTACAGGAAACATAATCTAAATAGTAAGTCTGATCAAAAGCAGCAATGGACTGTGGGATTCCTCTGCAGAGAACTATGAAGTTGGCCCAGACCAGGTGTTTGACAATCAGATCAGTGGGTTTCACCCTGATTCCAGAGAAGTCAGCAATGATAAAACAGCAAAGCAAAGCTGAGTTCCCCAGAATTCCCAGTGCAGTCTGGGACAGGAAGAAGATTCCTTCAACCGTGTCTCTGGAGGCCATTCTGTTATGGCCCTGGGTCAATGCAAAACATGTCCAGAGCACACTTGTTAAATAAGTTCGACTTCATTTTTCTTGGCATGCCAAAAAATGTACTGCATGCGCAATATTACCTTACATTCATAAGGAATGCTAATATGTGTCTTCCTGGTAAATAGCTTGCTAGGTCTCAATGAATTGCTATTGTTTGAATAGCAGATAATTAACTGGGACATTGTAGTAAAAATTAAACTTAATATTGCCATTAATATGTCTTAGTATTTTCCAAGTACCTTGCAGTTAATTGCAGGTTTAATATCCACAATGCACTGATGAGATGATCTAATGATCAAACTACATTCAGATGAATGTCCTGGTTGCAGAAACACTACAGGTTACAATGCTCTCAGCCACTTGTAAAAGGCTGAAAAAAGGAGACTGTATGACTCCACAAAAAATAGTAACCCCTAACTAAGATGCTATTGACAACTGATAACTACTAGGTGGCTTCAGTTTCCTGTAAAAATGTGGCCCCTAATAGCTTGACAGTGACATAGTAGATGGTCACAACCCCAATACCATGTGGGCACCACAAGCTAGGATTTATGTGTAAGAAATTTAAAAGGCACAAACATGGGTATGTAAAGAAACATGGTGTAACTGTGAAGAGTGAAGGAAGTATGAAAAAGGTCAAAATACATATAAATTTTTCCAAGTTAAAAATGAGAATGAATAATAGTGAATAAGAAAAACAACACAAGTTGAGAATAAAAAATAGAGATTAATAAAAATATTAAAGAAAATAGTGACCATCAGCTGTCAGGAATGATAGCATTTGAGTTCTCCTTTTTCAAACACACACATGTAATTGAATTTACATATATCTTCATGTACATATATGTGCTTTTGTTGCCTTTTCAACATTAATTCTTAACCTTTTAGTTTAGCATGTATTATTTTGAATATCATTCTATCACACTTAAACATGTCTAAAGACATGTAAATAGCAAAAAAAAATCCTTATCAATATATTTACAACAGTATGAAATGAAGGTGTTTACTGAATAGGACAATCACTAGTGTGATTCTTCAGCTATTTGTATTATAATTAAAGCACAATAGAGAATTATGGAATTGCTGAACAAGAGGAGCATGGCTTCTGAATTGTGGGCCATAAAATTTAACTAATATAACTGTAAGTGTTATAAAAATTGACAGATACTAATATACTGTCAGCCAGTGAAGTAATGGGTACCTAACACATAGTACAATAATAATTGAAATATCTGTGTGATTCAAAAGCAATATCTGAGCTGCGAATAGTGACACGTGTCTAATCCCAGTCTCTAGTAAGCCGAGGCGAGAGGTTCTCTATGAGTTTGAGGCTAGTCAGGTTTATAGAACAAGTTTCAGGACAGGAAGGACTACATAAATAAACCCAGTCTCAAAAATCAAACAAACAGAATGCAAATTCAGGGGGACATGAACATCCATGTCAGGGGTAAGTGGAATTATCAGAGGTGTCAGATCTGAGTGATATGAGGTTGCAATTATGCACTTAGTCAAATGCCCATGGACTTGAAATTTGGATATTGAGACACCAATTTACCAGTTATTCCTCTTTTTCACACCCAGATAACATAGACCTCTAAGAAAGATACTAAGTTCTCTCAATGCCACTGTACACAGGCATTTCCAATAAAGAAAAATCTGCATGCATATAAAGCCCCAGTGGAAAGCAAAATATGTGGTGTAAATATGCAGAGTATATCAAACTACTCTCAAAGTTGCTCTTGTAACTCTTTAAATTCTGGGAGAATTTTACCAACCCATCGCACAATCCTGAGATTACAAAATGAGTATTAGAACAGATAAATCTGAGAATAAGTAATAAACTGTCTTAGTCACCAGGACCTCTCCTTACTGGCAGCAGACACAAGATCATTGTCTTGGAAAAGAGCATCAATTGTGAATCCGGGATAGTCTCTCAACCTGCAGCCTCCTACAAATCATGTTGGGGTCAGGTCTCTGGAAGATTCTTCCTACTATGAAAATTCAACCTGTGCAGGAGCCCTTTCCTGAAAGAGAAAGATCATTTTGGAAGTCTCATCTCACCCACATTCTAAAGACTGCCCTGTCCTTTGAAGACTGGTACCTGAAGAAATGCAACTCACCTATGCAGATAGGATGCATCTGTGAAGCTGGCTGCTGGATCAGTACTCAGTTGCCAGTAGGATGTACAACAGTCATATAGCTACAAAGATGACAGCAATCCCAAGATTAAGGCTGAATGTACACAGCTCTCATACCCTAAGAGGATAACAGGATGATGTCACAGGAAGGAACGAACCATGACAGTTTTGCCGAAGGGACTTTACATCACCTTTGAAAAAAAATAAGCAAGAGAAACTTTTAAATGAGTAGTGAGCATCACAAAAGGGCAGGCTAGAAGTGTAATGTCCCTCTTCTCTCCTGTGGTGTCAGAAGTTAAGAATACCAGTAGTAGAATCAGGTAGTGATTATAATCCTGGGAGCAAGGATCAAAGGGAAAGTGTGAAGTTACAAGTACACTGTACTTTGGGGATGCATCATTATGAAAATATCTTTTACATTTGAAGAGACTAGAAGTTTTACTGGACCTCCCAGGTAGAGTTAAATTGAGGTCACTTAAGATTTAATACTGCTATTCAACAATATGCTTAGACTTTGTGATTAATCTGCAATTAAGAGAATAATGTAATGTGGTGGTATTGTGTACCTTAATAAACTTATCTGGGGTCAGAGAACAGAACAGCCACAATATTAAACATAGAGAATAGGCAGTGGCAGCACATGCCTTTAATACTAGTATTGCAGAGGCAGAGATCTATCTGGATCTCTGTGTGTTCACAGAAACATCCAAGCATGGTGACTCATGCCTTTAATCCCAGAAAGCAAGCCTTTAAACCCAGTGAGTGATGGCAGAAAGCAGAAAGGTATATAAGCCATGAAGACCAGAAACTAGAAGCTTATGGCTGGTTAAGCTTTTAGGCTTTTGATCAACAGTTCAGCTGAGATACATTCTGGATGGGGACTCAGAGACTTCCAGTCTGAGGAAATAGGATCAGCAGAGGAATAGGCAAGGTGAGGTAGCTATGGCTTGTTCTGCTTTTCTGATCTTCCAGCATTCACCCCAATGCTGGCTCCAGGTTTGTTTTTATTAATAAGAACTTTTAAGATTCCTGCTACAACTTAACAACCAACCTTACTTGCTTTGGATGTAATCAGTTTTTACAACATAAGCTAATGCATAACATTACTCCTAAAGTATATAATCTTCCATGCGCTGACACAAGAGTAATGCTGTTGCATATGTATATGTATATGTGCATATGTATAGCAATAAGTGATTAAAACAGCTAGTTTGAAATCAACCTAATGAAACAAATATACACAATAATTGTTGGAAGTGATACAAATGTAGATTTATATATCTATGTCCAGTGATCTTCAACACTGTTTTTATCTGAGTCAGTTGATAGCAGTTGGTATCAGTGACTCAATCCCTTGTAAAAATTCTTTTAAATATTTCAGTAAAGTATCACTCATTCCTCACTCATGTGAAGCTTCTATGCTGTTCAATAAATACAGAGCAAAGAGCACCTGCTTGGACTAAGAGTTGAGTCTCTATCCTCATACCCAAACAACTCAGCCCCTAGGCTTTGGGCCCAGGGCACAACCCTACACCCCTACACCCCCACCCAGTGCAGTCCCATTTTCAGGCCAGTCTGAAGGTAGACCTCCTGTAGACAGATCAGACTACAACCATCCCCCATAAGAACCAGTTACCCAAGCCCCACCTCCCCCAAATTCCAGCTGCCCACCAAAACTGCAGCTGTTCCCTGAGATAGCACCTGCCAGCACCTGATTGGACTAAGAGGTGATACCTTGTCTAGGTGGAGCCCAGAGGCACAATCCTGACCTGCTATACCATCACCCATTGCAGTCCCAGTTTTTGCTCAGTAGGCAGGCAGACCTACTGCAGACAGGTCAGACCAACTGCAGATAGATCAGACTACCACCATCCCACACCAGACCCTGTAACCCACAAGACCCGACCCCTCCCAACCTCAGACATAAAAAAGATTACAACTACTCCCTGATACAGAGCCTATGAGCAACAATTGGACTAAGAGCTACTCCCTGAGATAAAGAGTCCATCACCACCTAGTAGACCAAGATCTCCACTGGATCAAGAGTGTCAATCAGATCAGGAGAGCCTCCCTCAGACACAGACACCACATGCACCCAGTGGAGAAAATTATGGGTGACACCAGTGCAAAAGTACAGCCAGCAACAACAGCCATAAAAACAGTATGGTTCCATCAGATCTTGCATCACCAAGACCTGAAATTCCCAACACAGAAGAAAGCAACCTTAACAATGACCTTAAGATGATGACAGAGATCTTTAAAGAGGAAATGAAAAAAAATCCCTTAAAGAAGTCGAGGAAAAATGAGGGAAGCCGCTCAAGATTTGAAAACTGAAGTCCAGACAATACAGAAGATACAAACTGAAGGAATACTGAAAGTGGAAAATGTGAGTAAACAAACAGGAACTACAGATGCAAGCATAAACAACAGAATGCAAGAGATGTAGGAGCAGATCTCTGGCATAGAAGATACGATAGAAGAAGTAGATTCCGCAGTCAAAGAAAACGCTAAAGCCAACAAGGTCATGACCCAAAATGTCCAGGAAATTTGGAATACCATGAAAAGACCAAACCTAAGAATAATAGGGATAGAAGAAGGAGGAGAATAACAACTCAAAGGCACAGAAAATACATTCAACAAAATCATAGAAGAAAACTTTCCCAGTCTAAAGTAGAAAATAAATATTAAAGTACAAGAAGCATATAGAACATGAAATAGACTGGATCCAAAACAAGTCCCCTTGCCAAATAATAATCAAACCACTAAACATAGAGAATAAAAAATATTAATAGCTGCAAATTAAAAAGTCCAAGTAACATATAAAGGCGGATC